GAACTACTGACCTAAAACACATTTCTAGATAAAACGGAATTTCCCCTCTTCAGAGGATCCCTTGGCTCTCTGGTGTCCTTGTTTCCTCCCTTTTTTTCTCTCCCGTGAGTCACCTTTCGTTTGTCCTCGTTCTCCCTCCGTCCGCTGCATAGTACTGTGTGCTTTACCATTGGCCATGGAGTCGACTGTGGGCCATGTGGGCTCCATACGTGGTGCAGTAGTGCTGTGATCCAGAGGCTCTCTGTGGCTAACTGTTTGCAAGAGTTTCTCAGGACTTTCTTCCAAGGCACACCTGAGTGGACTCAAGCCTCCAACCTTGTAGTCAGCAGCTGAGCAAACAGCTGATTGCCTCCCCCCTGTCACCCCCGCCCATCCTCCCAGGGAGCTCCCTGCAGTAACGAGGGAGGATGTTCAGTACCCCAAGTCCAGTATGGGAGCCACTAGCCACACGTGTCTGCAGAGCTTGAACACTGGCTAGTGAGAGTGAAGATTGAACTTCTTATTTTCATTTAAGTTCAGGTCCTACAGGAGACCAGTGGCTGCCATGGGGACCAGCACAGGTCTAGAAAGCTCAAGGCAGCTCTTGAAACTCAAGATAGGAGGGACGCATGCTTCCTCTGGTTCTCACTGGTTCCCCCTAAAGGAAATGGAGTGAGGCTTGGGTGGAGATTGGGGTTCAGAGATAGCATACACCCCTGCATTCCAAGATGGAGGCCCCCCTGTGGGATCAGTCTCACATGGCGATGAAGGTTGCTTCCAAGGAGATAACCTTGCCAAGCCCACATCATTCTTCTAATGAATCCGAGTCTGGGAGGCCAATATTGCTGGCAGACGGTTTATAAAACTGCAAAATATAATTGCCCTAAACTGCCAGGAATACAAGAACATCGCTGGCAGATAGCTCCTTTCTACCTTTGGATGTAGAATACAGGCATTGAGAATAAAAATATGGGTTTTGTGAGATTGCTGTGCTGATATTAAATCTGAATTGATTTTGTTTGTTTTGCTTGGGCTAGAATAGCTTCTTCATTACAGAATGTATTATGCTGAGAACAATAGCTAGGAGCCAGGCAACAGAAGTGCTTTAGCAAGAGATTCACATAATCCCTATTTTACCTTCTAAACGGTGCTCCCTGCTCACCCACTTGGATGTTGTGAGTGGTGCACTGGTGCACAGGAAAAGGGGATGGAGATTTGATCCACCGAGTACCAGGAAGGGGGCTTGCGGCTTATGGGAAAATATTTTTTCTTCCAAATGTGAAGGGTTAGGAACGAAGCTGCTGCCATGTCTCAGCGGGCTGTGGCCCGTGGAATAACAGTGGGCTGGCTTTGTGGTTTTGGCTCTAGGAGAAACGAGCTGACCGAGCTTTTGGGGGGAGGGATAGAAAACTTGAAGTGGTGATCCCTTCTAGCCATGATCTTAGCCTTGGGGATGGGAGGTGGTGGCGTCCAAGGGCAGAGCTCAACTGCAGGTCGTGCTATGTCTCTAAGGCCTCCTCTCTAGAAGGCAAACAGGGGGGCCCTGGGAGGCAGTAGGGAGAGAGAAGTGGAGGAAGAAGGCGTGACAGTCTGCCGAGTAGGGCTGTCTCCTCCTGTAGAGATTGACAGCCTCGAACACCTTCAGCAGCAGTTCTCCTCGGTCTTCTGGGGCCACTCTGGCAGGTGGTGTGGTGTGTGGGTCTTGGTTTTATTCCTCCAGTTTTATTTGTAAGCCTTGATGCCACTGGAAAAGGTAGAGCAGAGGGAAACGATTGTCCAACACCAAAGACGAGTGGGTTTCTAAGTCTGAGTATGTTCCCACGCCAGGGACCAGAGTGGGCGAGGTGAGGCTCTGACTTACCATGTGCTGCCTTTCAGGAATACCACATAATGAAGAAATCGACCCGCTCCCTGAGCACGACTCAGGTGGAATCCCCGTGGAGACTCATCCGGCCGTCGGTCATCTCCATCATTGGGCTGTACAAGCAAAAAGGCAAGGTGAGGTCTTCATGCAGGTGAGGATGGAGTCTCACAAATGGTCACTTTTGATGGTGGTTGCAAAGCCTGAGTGCGGGGGGCCGGGGGAGGTGATGTAGAGAGGATTGGATTCACATAGGCTTGCGTGGATCTAAGGACATTCCCTGGCTGCCCTTTTCTATGGCTTCAGACTGTGTGATGGTCACGTGGTCTTTGCCCTTCCGATGTGAGAAGTCCGCAGTGCAGGCTGCCGGGGTCCCTTAGCCCATCCGAGGGTGGGCTGAATGCCTCTAGCTTTTACCTTCTGGAAGAAAAGCTGAACCTTCAGAGTCAGGGAAAACACCCCGTTACCCCTTTATATGGATCTGATGGCACTGCCACAATCATAAACAGAATGGTGCAAATTATTTTTAAAATCCACTTTGGTATTCCGAGATGGAAATACCACAACGAGGCAAATGAGCATGCTCGCAGTGTACACTGGCCTTGAGACGTCTGTAGGGACCCTCGTGGACTTGCCATTGCAGGAGGCCACGAGTCGTTGCTCTTCTGTTCAGACCAAACCTATTCAGTGCGAGGCTGTGGTGGTGCACAGAGATCCAGGGAGGGAAATGGGGAAGGACGTCCATGCTGCAGCAGGGTCACTCAGAGCCTGGTTCATGCTACCATGTGACCCTGCACTCCATCTGCTTTTGGGTGCAGGGCCTTGGCTTTAGCATTGCTGGAGGTCGAGACTGCATTCGAGGACAGATGGGGATTTTTGTCAAGACCATTTTCCCGAACGGATCAGCTGCGGAGGATGGAAGGCTTAAAGAAGGTAGGGGAATGCCTCTTGGGGGTCCTCAGTGACTGAGAATAGCCCCCCTTGCACACCCAGTAATAGCCAAAGTCCTGAGCGTGGGAGTCCAATGGACCTGGGCAAATCCCAACATTTAGCTACATCCTGACCTTAGACAATTGCTATAACCTGAGCTTCAGTTACGTCGGTCGTAAACTTGGAAGCTTTATACCTACCTGGATGACTCCTTGCGTCTGCTCTGGTTATTAGGCTCTTTAAATGACTGTTGCCCTCTTGGTTCATGGCCCTGTTCCTTGCATTGAAAATTCCTTAGCATTGAGATCCATCCTTGCCTCAGGACTGCGATGGAGGCAGAGTAGCTGTGCATTAATTGACAGTTAATACCTTGCTGTTGAACTCAATCACCACGTAGTTTGGCACATACATGAACTCTTAGGCATTCTCCTGACCACCTACCATTTTGCCACACCAGACAAATGCTTTTCAGTGCAAATTAAAGCAATATCAAGGAACCCAGTTGTAACCACGACATTAAGTATTTGAAATGTTTAAATGGGCCTTATCTTTCATAGTGTTTTTAACATGTGTAAGACATTTCCACATATTTGGCTAATGTATTTCATTAATCTCATTACAAGCCTGTCAAATAGGCATGTTGGACTGAGCGCTTTCTTTACAAATGAGAAAACCAAAACTGGGAAAGGTCCGCCCTTGGTAATTTGCCGTACTCTCAATAAATAGCCGAAGTGACATTTAAGCTCAGGTTCCTGCAGGCCAAGTTCTCCTCCCACCTTCCCACTATGAACTCGGGTCAGAACTCTTTCTCCCTTCTTGAGCTTATCACATTACTTGGTAAATAAAATTCAAATACGTCCAGTTTCCTTCATGTGTAGGCAAAGCCCAGTGGCATAGTGGATTATGAATTGGTCAGCAGTCCAAAATCGCCAGCCAGTCCACAGGAGAAAGATGAGGCTTTGTGCTCCCAGAAAGATCGACAGCCTCAGAACCACGCTGGGGTCGTTCTGCGCTGTCCTTTAGGGTCATAGTAGAATCGATGTAATGACATTGAGCTTGGTTTTGGATATAGACACAGTAAACCTGAAAGCTAAACCCATTGTCGCCCTAGTCAGTTCTGACTCCTCGTGAACTTATACAAGGGTTTTGAGGCTGTAGATTTTCATGGGAACCATGAAAATTCTCCCATGGAGCGGCTGGTGATTTTGAACTGCTGACCTGGTGGTTGGCAACTCCCCCACCAACCTTGAGGTTAGCAGCCCAGGGCCTAACCCACAGTGCCACTCGGGCACCTTGTGGGCACAGCAACTGCTCTTAATAAAGGGCCTCTTTCTTCATCATAATCTTAAACCAGACACACCTGCATATGATGGTATGTCAGACTATGTTACCACTCCAGGAATTTTCATAAATGGAGTCGCTGTAAGTATTGTATATCTGTGACGAGGCATTGATGGCTGGGTTCCATTCCCAGGCAATGCATGCACCTTGGCTACAGCCACCACCCATTCCTCAGCGGAGGCTGGTGTGCTGCTAAGACGCTTAACAGAGGAGCTTCCAGACTAAGACAGACTAGGAAGAAAGGCCGAGTGGTCAGCGTCTGAAAACCAATCATTGAAAGGCCTGTGGCTCACGGCGGCGCTTTGTCCAATCCCCACACGATAGCTGCCGTTGTCTGAAGCTGTCTTTAAACTGAGAAGAGCGAGCTCCTGCTCCCCAACTTCTAGCGGAGTGGTTCTTGTTAGGTGCCACCGAGTCAGTTCCGGCCCAAACCAACCCTCTGCACAACAGAACGCAGCACGGCCCGGTCCTGCGCCGTCCTCACAATGGTTCCCATGCCCATGGTTGCTGCCACGTGTCAGTCCGTGTCCTTCGGGCCCTTCCTCTTTTTTGCCACCCCTCTGCTTTACCACGCATGATGTCCTGCTCAGGCAGAGAGGGAGGTGGGAAGCCACATGGAAACGACAGGGTGGGTCCAAGCTGACTTGCCTCGACAGCAGGGGAACTCCCAGTGGGTGTTGGCGTCCTCCTTCAGGACAGTGCACTGTCCGAGCGGAGCATATTTGTCACAGAACTGCCATGAGTTCCCTTAATGGGAACCCAGCCTGCTCCGCTGGTAGAGTGCAGCCAAACCAGGGGAAAGGGTCCTCCGTTCTCGATTCCCCCTGCATACTGCCTCCTCGGGTGTGTTCCTTGCTGAGCTGTATAACTTGTTGGAGTAGACTTTCAGCCCGTTGAGCGGTAGGTCTAAATCTTGTGTCCACTTGACGAACATGAGCCATTGTTGGAAGCTTCTGCTCCTTCCCTCGCGTGGAAACCACCAGACCACAAGCCCTCTCAGGTAGTTGTGCTGTTGATGATGCCAGGTGAATTTTAAGCAGAGGCCCCAGCCCCTTCCTTAGTTTGCTAGCTCCCTGGGGACTAGTGAAGGAGGGTGCCTCTGGATGGATTCAAACGGCCGGCATTCCAGCTGGCCTTCAGGCATGTTCACACTCTAGAGCTAAGCCAAGCCCAAGCCAGCTCATCGATTCCAACGCGTAGTGACCCGACAGGGCAGAGTAGAACTGCCCCGCGGGGTGCCCTCGGCTCAGCTCTGTATGTCTGTATGCAGGCTGCCTGCCATATCTTTGATTTCCCATGGAGCAGCGGAGGGGTTCGAACAGCCAACCCTGTGGTTAGCAGCCCAGCACTTCACCACCAGCGCTTCCTTTACACCACCCCACCCAGAGATGACCAGTGAGTCCGTTCCGATTCACGGTAAAGCCTAGAGGGCCGAGTCGAACTGCCCGGTGGGCTTCCGAGGGTGTAACCTTACGGGAACAGGTCTTTTCTGGCAAGAAGCGGCTCAGTGGTTCGAACCCCAGACATTTCCCTTAGCAGCCAATTGCTCACTCACCTTGTGCCATGCCAGGCCTCCTCCTGTGAGCCATTGCCCTCCCTCCAGGGATGCCTTAGGTGGAGGCAGGCGGTGAGGTGCCAGCTCAGGGCCGGTCCTCAGTCCTCTCTCAGCAGGTCTTTTGTCTGTGTCGTTGGGACCATTTGCCATGCCCCACAGTGACTCGCCAGGCTCGGGCAGCTTGTGTTGCTGCAAATAGAGGAGCGGCTTCCCCAGTGGTGTGTGTGTTCGTGCTTCGTTGCTTGGGCTTAGATTTCTAAACAATGGCGATGAAGACGGCCTTGGAGCCCAGCTTCTGACTCATCTCGCTGCCATCGAGCCAAGGCTGATTCAGAGCGGCCCAATAGAACAGGGTAGAACTGCCCCTGTGGGTTTCTGAGATTGTCACTCTGTGTGAGAGCAGGGAGCTTCATCTTCCTCCCTCGGATCAGCTAGTGGTTTCAAACTGCCGAGCTTGTGGTTAGCCGCCCAGCGTGTAACTGAGTACACCACCATGGGCACCCATTCTGACTCCTGGTGATGTTATATAGGGTTGCCGAGACCGTAACGTTATAGCAGCAATCAGCCTCATTATCCTCCCAAGAAGCAAGAAGTGGGTTTGAACTTCCAACCTTGTAGTTAGCAGCCCAATGCCTATCTCACAGCACCACCAGAGGTAGTCATCTTGATGCTTCTCATAGCTGTTTTCATTAAAGTAAAAAATGCAGAGCTGCCGCGAAAGCCAGCACGTTGTAATTACCTGTCCCATCTCGTGGCATTCCCAGGAACGTAGCTAATGAGGGTGGGTGCAGCCAGGGTTAGCTTGCAGAGTAGTAAATCGGAAACTAGATGGTATCACATGGTATGACTGACACAGCCATTATACAGCGAGTCAATTCCGACTCAGAGCCACCCAGTCGGATAGAGTAGAACTGCCCCTGTGGGTTTCTGAGGCTGTAAATCTTTAGGGGAGCAGAAATCCTCATTGTTCTCCCTTGGAGCAGCTGTTGGGCTTGACCCACCAACCTAGTGGTCAGTGGCCCAATGGTTAACGCACCCTGCCAACCAGAGTTCAAACTCAACCAACTAATTGCTGCAAGTCAGTTGTGACTCAGAGGACAGGTAGAACAGCCCTGGTGGTGGGTGGGAGGGTGGGAGGGGTCCAGACTAACTCTTTACAGGAGTAGAAAGCCTCATCTTTCTCGAGGAGTGGTGATTTCAAACCGTTGACCTTAGCAGTCAGCAGCCCAACACATAACCACACCACCACCAGGGCTCCTCCCAGTAAATTCAAGCTTGATGCTCATGTAACTCTTGTCTTTGGCCACTAGGGGATGAGATCTTAGACGTGAATGGGATACCGATAAAGGGCCTGACGTTTCAAGAGGCCATTCATACCTTTAAGGTAACAGCATTCTTATGGATCAACTTTATTCTGGCTTCAGTTTGGAGATTTTTTTTCTTTCTTTCTGGCCTGAATGTGTTAGCCCTATGTTGCCCTTGTTTCCTCAGCAAATCCGAAGTGGGCTGTTTGTCTTGACGGTACGCACAAAGCTGCTGAGCCCCAGCCTCACGCCGTGCTCCACACCCACCCACATGAGCAGGTCCAGCTCCCCGAACTTGAACGCCAGCGTGGGAACCTTGGCAGCAGGCTCGGAGGAGAGCAGTCCTGCCTCCCTGGGCCGGAAGACCCCTGGGCCCAAGGACAGGATCGTCATGGAAGTCACCCTCAACAAAGGTGACCGGTGCAACCGTATCCCCACCTTCACTGCTGCGTTCTCTTGAATACCAACTTATAGACGGTTCTTGGGTTGATTATTTTTAAATCATTTGGTAGTGAATTGTTCCTTTGGAGCCTCGCTTATCAAAAACATCTGCTCCTCCCCAAGTGGACAGTGAGCCCCACAGTAGACGTGTGAGTCACTGTACAATTGTCCAAGGGAACTCCAGCAGCTCACTGTTCCTTTAAATCCGCGCCCCACCCCTTCCCTAACGTATCACACTGGATCGGGGACTGTGTTTGAAAGCAAAGCAAATGACTGCATCGTTCAGTCTAAGGCATATGGGAATTTTTTAATAATGAAAGATTACAGGTGTCTTTTGGATACAAAAAGACATTGAGAATATTGTTTGACCCCAGGGCCTAAAGGTCACAAGTAGTCACCAAGTCCTACTGATTTTCAGTTGTGTTTCCCTTTCTTTCCCACCTTCTGTGGAAGCATTATCAGTAACAACCAAAGGGATTGGTTGGTTAGAAGATAAAGGCCTAAGGTTGTGTATCCAAAATAGTAACCATTTACATAGATGCTGCCTGATTCAGAAAAAAAGATTGGGGGAGGCTTGCTGATTGACCCTCTGGCCCAGCGGCGACCTCACACGTGAAAAAGCAGGATAGCATTGTCATTTGAAATTATAATAGGTGAACGTGAAACGCCTCTTCTGAGTGTATCTCATGTGGTTTACTCTCAGTTACTTGTCTCGCTGTGTAATCTCTGCCTTTGTTTTCTCTGAATGCTGCCCCTTGCAGAGCCACGGGTTGGATTGGGCATCGGTGCCTGCTGCCTGGCCCTGGAGAACAGCCCTCCGGGCATCTATATCCACAGTCTTGCCCCAGGTTCCGTGGCCAAGATGGAAAGCAATCTGAGGTGGGTTATAAATTTGCCCGGTTGAGTAGCGCTTCAAAAAGTTGGTGGGGGAAAGGATAGGGAGTCTTTCCCGAATTTTTTGAAGCCCTCTCGTCGAAGGTCCCGGCATGTTGGTGACTGTGTCCAGAGTCAGGGCCATAAAGACCGGCTCTAGTTCATGCCTCTGTGGGATTCAAAACCTCAGCACGACGTCCCCTAATGTCGCTGGATTTGCGATGACTAGCATCTCCCAAAATGAGACGCTAAGATAAATACAACCTCTTTTCATTTGGAATGAGAAAACTGATGTGGACTCTGACGTAGCACCCCACTCCTGTAGCACCCCACTCCTGTTTAGTTCTGGTAGCGCTTAGAAGTTGAGTTTTAGCAACGAGAGGCTACAACTCTTCAGATCTGGCTATGATTTTCTGAATATTTTCTTTTACTTCTATATTCGTTTATCTAAAATTGACACACCCTAAGGACTCAGACTCCTTAGACTTCAGAGTCCTGAGATCATGCGTTTGAATGGGAACCTTATCCCAGTAAAGAGCCTTTCTCGAACCTCCTTTGTTTTCACCTCTACTTGCGTGATGACGTCCAGTTGTCCGAACTCCCTGGGTATGTAATTTCTCAGTCCAGCTTGGGGTGGATAGTAGCAGTCGAGAGACGAGCGGGGATTCTGTTTTCACAAGAGAAGTATCGAACTCTCACGGTGGGTCTGTGCCCACCCACACATCACAGAAGTGTACGCACGCACCACACAAGTCTCCCATACAAACAGTATTGCATTTCCCCCTGCTAAGCCTCTTCGTCCTGGAGCAAGTGAGGAACTGTCACAATGCCATTCCCTGTGGTTGCCATCTTTGAGCTCTGCTAAGAGGGGACATTATATGTTTCAGTTAATCATCCCGAGTGTATTTCTATAGGGGGTGGAATTAACAAATCATCCAACGTACATTCAAGAAAATACTTTTAGAACCCGAAGAGAAAAAATCCTTTAATGACATCCCAGAGAGATGTTTCTTTCTTGAATGGTTCCATATGCCCAGAGCCTGCCAAATGAACATTCTTCAAACCCCATATAAAGCCGCTTTGTTCTCGTGCTAGGTTCACCCCTATAATTTCAAGTGAAAATGGGCAGCTTGTCCCCAATTTCTCATTTGTTCAAATGCAAAACGTTTTTACAAATTCTTGAGTAACCTTTGAGCCTCAGATATTTCCTCCTTAAATTATATCGCTGTAATCATTTCAAGATGGCAGGAGGAAAGAAAACAGTGGTGGTCAAGGGAGCCGATCCCATCAAAAGGGACGAACGACAGCACCAAGAGTCAGACAGACCCGAGTTCAGCAATGTGTAACATCTGCTTGACCTCTTTTAGCCTGAGGCTCACAATGACATATTCAGAGTATTGATGTGTGAATTACTTAGCATGGGGCTCGGCATATAGTATATGCTCAAGACATGGTAGCCTGATTACTGGCTTTACTCTTACTGAATATACAGAGGCTAATGGCTTTGCCAATTTAAAATCTTACTTGTTTTTAAAAGTAAATTGCCCTTTTCTTTTCATTGTGTATTCTTTTATATGTATTCAGAGATGAAAGGATGCCATTTGCTCCCAGGGCTTTGAGTGGTTCATGGAGCCTTAAGTATCACCTGGGACTCTCTAGCAATCACCTGGGCATCTTGTGTAAAATGTGGATTCTGATTCCCAGTCTGTTTGGGTGGCAATGCAATTTCTCAGCAGAAGGGCAAACGAGAATGAACCAGTCTGAGGCCGAAAACATAATCCGGAGTTAGTCCATCTTGTAAAGTCCCAGCCGGAGACCTTTGTAAGCTGACTCACTCCCGACTGCTGGTCTGTTGTGCTTCCCAGCCGCGGAGACCAGATCCTGGAAGTGAACGCGGTCAACGTTCGCCATGCTGCTCTAAGCAGAGTCCACGCCATCTTGAGCAAGTGTCCCCCAGGACCTGTTCGCCTTGTCATCGGCCGTCACCCCAATCCAAAGGTGAAGTCCTTCTTACTGTTCCCAGCCATGGGGACCAGGCTCGGGGTTCATCCTGTAGCAGTGGTAACATTTGCGCCGGTCCCTCTGCACACGTTCCTGTGACCACGAGTACTAAGGTAGGACAGTTCATCCAGGAGTGGCCATAGTCATTGATCCATGTGCAAAATGAAGCCATTGATCTTGACCTCTATGACATACAAACCAAACCCATTGCCGTCAAGTCAGTTCTGACTCATAATGACCCCATGGGGCAGAGTAGAATTATCTCTTTGGGTTTCTGAAACTAACTCTTAATGGGAGTACAAAGCTTCATCTTTCTCCCTGGAGAGGCTAGTGGTTTTGAACCGCTGTCTTTTCGGATACTGGGCCTTCTACTCCCACAGACGGCTGCAGTCTCTTGCTGTAAGTCTGCATGGACGCCAGGGCCAGGGGTTTGGTTCTCGATTTGGAGCCCAGCAAGTCACCAACTGTGCCACCAGGGCTCCCTCAAAACTGCCCTTTTTAAAATAAAGCACCTCTCACGATAGTATTATTGAATTTAAACGTTGGTGTGGTGGACGGTAAGAATACTGGGTTTTTGAGTTACGGCTGACGGACCTCTCATGAAATACTTCATTCACCTCTCAGTGTTTCTGCATCAGGAAGAGATGACAGCGTTGAACTAGTGATCTATCCGACCCTTTGGTTTGGGGATAGAATCTCTCTCTCTTTTTCCCCTCTATTCTCTTATTTGCCCACATGTTGGAAATTATAAGTTTAAAACTAAGTAATGAATTTTTAAAGCAGATTCGGTGACTCTTTAACTGCTTTCTTCAAGTAAGACATGAGAATGTATCAAAATTGACCTAATATAAAAACAAGTTTATAATAGTTGACAGATGATGATTTATCATTTAATTGAAATTAGGATAGTATCCTTCATTCACATAAATTAGTGACTGTCTTTGCATCTCTACAAACTTTTTAGAGCATCAACTTTTTAAAAATTTTAATAAATCATTTTATTGGGGGCTCTTACAGCTTTTATAATAATCCATACATCAGTTGTGTCAAGCACATTTGTACATGTTGCCATCATCATTTCCAAAAAATTTTCTTTCTACTTGAGCTCTTGGTATCCTCTCCTTTCCCCCTCCCTCCCCTCCCCTCCCACCCTCAAGAGCCCTTGATAATGTATAACTTGTTTTTATTTTCTTACACCATCGGTTATCTCCCTTCACCCATGTTTCTGTTATTCATCTATGTCGATCATTGTGATTGGTTCCCCCTCTCACCCCCCATCTTCCCCTTTATTGGTCCTGGGAGGTTATCTGTTCTGGATTTCCTGTGTTTCGAACTCTTATACGTACCAGTGTACGTGCTCTGGTCTAGCTGGATTTGTAAGACAGAATTGGGGTCATGCTCATTGGGAGGAGGAAACATTAAAGAACTAGAGGAAAGTTGTATGTTTTGTCAGTGCTATACTGCACCCTGACTGGCTCATCTTTTCTTTGTGATCCTTCTGTAAGGGGATGTCCAATTTTCTACAAATGGGTGTGGGGTCTCCACTCTGCACTCCCCTTCATTCACATTGATAGGATTTTTTGTTCTGGGTCTTTGATGTCTGATACCCGATCCCATTGACATCTCGTGATCACACAGGCTGGTGTACGTCTTCCATGTGGGTTTGGTTGCTTCTTAAGCTAGATGGCTGCTTGTTTATCTTCAAGCCTTTAAGGTCCCAGATGCTATATCTTTTGATAGCCGGGCACCATCAGCTTTCTTCACCACATTTGCTTATGCACCCGCTTTGTCTTCAGCTAATGTACAGAGAAGGTGAGCATCACAGAAAGCTGGGCTATTGGAACAAAGTGTTCTACTCCGTACACTCTTAAAAGACAAATAAATGTCTTTAGATTTAAGGAGGAAATTTTTTAAATGTTCATTTAGTTCTCTGTTGAGTCTCCAAAAAAGTCATAAAGTGACTATTCTAAGATAGTTTGAGCAAATGAAAATAAGATGAAAATGTTGGCTTTGCAAATCAATTTATTTGCTTCAAAATGACCGTGGATTCAAATGGATTTTGGGGGTGCGGGGTAGGGATATGAGGCCACTTCCAGGCAACAAGACAGTGGAAGAGAGAGACTGTTCTTTCCTGCCTCTCTCCACCCCCATTGATGCAGCTGTCAACCCTTAACATAAATGTAGAGAGCTTCCACTGGGGCTGGGGCTACACCGATGAGTTAAGAACATACAGTCTAACACCCTAAACCCGTCCCCACGGAGTCGATTCCCACTCCTGGTGGCCCTACGGGATAGAGGAGAACTTCCCCTGAGGCTTTCAAAGGTTGCGGATCTTTATGGAAGCAGACTGCCACATCTTTTTTCTCATGGAGTGATGGTTAGTTTGAGCACTTTAATCACTGCACCACCAGGGCTCCTGTGATCTAACACAGGGGTACTTCAGTAGTAGTAGTGTTTTATTTTTGTTGAAAATACTCATAGTAAAACTTTGACCAGTTAACCATTTTTCCTCGTCCACAGTGCAGTGACATTTGTGGCATCCTTCACGTTGTGCAGCCATTCTTACCTGTCCCAAGTCATCCCCCTGTTACCAGGAACTCTCTGCTCCCCGAGGTTTCCTATCCAGCCTTTCGGGTTGCTACATTCAATTCGATCCCATCGCCATAGTTCTTTTAAAGAGCGCAGTGGTCAAGGCCGACGTGTTACCGATTAAGTTAAGCGTTATTTGGTTTAGAGACGGCTTCAGGAGATATACTTGGTTTACGGTTTAAAGATTACATCAGGCCAATACGTGGGGGAGGGGCAAGCGGGCTCAGTCAGCCTCAGTGGTTCCATGAGGAAGGAGTCCGAATTCCACGAGGATCTGAAATTTTCTTTGGCATTTCTCCCCTTTGGATCAAGATTCTTCTGTAGACTCTTGAATCAGCATCACACAGGGGTCCTTAATCTTAGGAGGGTGCCATGGATTATGTGTGTTTGCGTTTATTTCTGTGCAGGCAGTATCTGCTGCCACCAATAGCTTCTATCACATTTGCATCCATGGCCCATTTCGTTAGGATTTGAAGACAGGACAGTTGCTAGACCAGTGAAAGGAAGCGCGGGCTCCTCCTCTGTCTGTCTGGGGACCCGAGAACCCTTTCAGAGAAGGCTGAGAACTCTCATTGTCTTTCAGTGTCGGCATTACTATTGACCCAGACTGAACTTACGGATAATCGGAACCACGAGCTCATTGGCCTCTGCTGTATTTGCTCATATTTTTTCTGTATTTGTGCAGTTGCTTTTTATTTTTAAGTCAACCACAGACTACTTCATTAAGTCCAACTGAATGCCTCAACTCACATCTAGTACAATTTTGGGTGGTTTTTTTGATTGCTTGTGGTCGGAAAAAAAAACCCTCTTAATTGGCTTGTCTCTGACTTTGTATTCAGGTTGTAGTCAACACAATGTAACTTTTTCCTTTAAAGAACTCAACCACTCATTAAAAGCATTAGCTCTTACCTGTGTCTGTAATATGGTGACTCCCTGTATCATTTGATCAGATCCTAAACCGCCCCCAGCTGTCCTGATGGACTTGTGCACCATTTGAAGAGAAAAAAGTATCTGCCAGTACGGGCTTGCCCGTGTGCCAAGTCCGAGATTCCTTTAGCGTATTAGCTTTATGGCATCGTGTGTGTGTGTGTGTGTGTGTGTGTGTGTGTGTGTGTGTGTGACAAATAAGTGCCATGAACTGTGCCTGGATCTGGGAATGTGATGTATGTCAACTGAAGTGTTCACATAAAGATCACCATTTGGTTAATTAAAAGTCAACTCCACTGCAGTTTTTAACGATTGTTTAATCTACATTTATATTTTTTAATCTTTTTTTAATCATTTTATTGGGGGCTCATACAACTCTTACCATAATCCATCCATCCATCCATTGTGTCAGGGATATTTGTACATTTGTTGACATCATTTTCAAAACATCTTTCTACTTAAGTCCTTGGTATTAGCTTCTCATTTTTCCCCTCCCTCACGAACCCTTGATAATTTATAAATTATTTTTTCATGTCTTACACAAATCTTACATTTAGATTTCTTGACTGAAAAATACTAATATACTATCAGGTCTTGCTCCCACCTTTGCCCATTTCCCCCTCCTTGCCCTCTCCCAGAGGAACCCTGGTAGTGATGTAGTGGTTGCAAGTTGGGCTGCAAACCACCAGGTGAGCAGTAGAAGTTCAAAACCACCAGCAGTTCTTCGGGAGAAAGATGAGGTTTTCTACTCCCGTAGAAAGAGACAGTCTCGGAAATTCACACAGGCAGTTCCACCCTGTCCACTAGGGTCTCTGTGAGTCCCCATCGGGTTTGGTTTTGTGTCTCTCTCTC